CCGCGGCTTTGCAAAGCGTGGGGGGAAGCCGGCGGTGGGGCATCCCAGGTGCGCCTGGGCTGCCCCGCCGCCTGTAAACCCGGCGTATAAGACGACCCCCAATTTTTGGGGGATGTTTTTTAGCATCAAAAGTCATCTTATATGCCGGAAAATACGGTAGTTTTTGATGTATTTGCTTTTTAAGGTAACATTAGGGGACCAGCACCCTCTGCTAGCTACGCTCGCCTACCACTTTTCTCTGGCTGCTTTTGCTTTGCTGAGAGAGCCTGTTGATGCTGATGATATGATGATGTCATTCTGCCACCTGGCAGAAACATTCTGTTATATCAGGAAAAACATTTATATGCATATCTATATATATAAAGAGAGAAAAGTATTGAAATGGACTACTTTTTTGCTAAGAAATTATATATATATATTTATTTATTTTTTACTAGAAATACTGACACAGAGATTTGCAGTAAATTTTATAAGCTTCAATAGTACTAGTACAACAGAACTGTCTGGGAATCCAGGTAATTATACTTTGTTTTACGTTCGCGTCTGTTGGTTGATTGGGGCGGGGGGAGCGGGGGAGGTTTTTATTACACCCATGGCAAGTGTTCCCTCCATCCATGTGCAGAATAAATTTTGTTTTGTGGACTAAGGCATGTGCAGAGGTGCACCACCAATATAAACATATGCTGCCTGCTGAGGGTGCTTTGCTAATTAGCTGGGCAGCATGTGACTCTTTCTTGGGTGGCTGCCCAAGTGCTCAGCTTACAGGGAACACTGGCTAGGAGCAGTTATGCCCAATTTTATTTCTTATATTTCTGCCATTTTCATCTTAATGCTGATAATCATAGCCTTTCTTTTTTCTGTTGTGCTACTGGTAATATTGATAATGCTGAAAGGTATTATCAGATACCGTGGAATTAAAATTTAGGATTTGATTCTAAAAGCACTACCAGATATAGTGCTTGCTTCTGTAAGTATTCCCATTGAAATGAAGCATTAGCAGGTGTCATACTGATGCTTCCTTGAATGTTGGACTCCTGCGCTGTGGCAGCACAGGAAGATAGAAGAGAAGCTTCCCCCCCAGCTATTTCCTTTTTTCCCAAGCTGCAGCCAGCTAACATAAGGCAGAATTTGTCTCTTACTGTTTTCTGCAGTTCATTAATACTTTTTTGTTTGAAGTGAAACCATTTTTGCTATAATGAAATTTCTGTTTAGATGTGAAACTTAAGCACCTCATTAGTCCATTAGGGTTCTCCAACACATTCAGAACTGTAGGAGACAGTGCTTCTAGCAAAATGAGAAGGGTTCATGATCATAATAATATACATTTATAGTCCATATTATACAAACACTAATCCTCACAACGCCCTCGTGAGAGAATATCAGAGACTACGATACCTAGGTTCTTACACAGTGCTTTTCATCAGTAGATCTCAAAGCACTTTCAAAGGAAGTCTATATTGTTATCCCCAAGGTTACAAAGTAGCTAGGAAGCCAAGATTAGAATACAGTAGTTCCTAGCCTTCATTCCTGAACTCAATTCACTAGACCATGTTACTTTTAAGAACTTGGGGAGTTATATGTATTATAAAAATGTCAATGCTGGTGAATTCTTATAAAACTGTCACAATTTCTCTTTGTGTGTTTAGGCTACCAGCTTGGCAAACCTGTTAGAGCTGTAAATATTAGTTCATCTGATACTGTTACCACTTTAAAGCTTTGGAAGCCAGGTACTACCTTTTTGATATGCTGCTTTAATAGCAACTGCAATATAAACCAAAAATACTCTTAATTTATTATGTGTTTTGCTGCTTTTGTTTTTGACTTTTGGCTTTCCTAAACTGCTCTGAGTTGCTAATGTAGTTTTTTGGAGTTCAGAAAATTTATTATAGAAACTCAAAATGCAATGAAATATACATGTATAATAAATCAGTTTCATATATCATAATGATATTTTTGTAGGTAATACTTTCTATTTAATAAAATACTGCTACTGAAATACTGGAAAAATAAACTAATGGGTATTATGAAATATTGTCATTTGAATATAAGTGCAAGACATATGTAATAAAGAACTGAAGAATGTGTAGTTTTTAAGATGCTACAAATGAAAATGGATTGACACCTAAGATGAATAGAATTTTACTAATATTTGAGTTAAGCTGGTTTTGCTGTTTTAGCATTCTAAATCAAAGTAGCTTTCTACATATTTGCAAGATAGAGACTCAAAAGTCAATAGGAGAAACACAAATGGATGTTTTCATTTTGTAGTTGGCAGTGGTTTATGTACGTCAGCAACTTTCACACCAGTACTGTTTGGATTAAATTCACTATCTGGATGCATTTTAAAAGTTGACATTGACAAGAATTGCAGTCAGTTAAGGTGAGATATATTTGGGCTCTCCTGTTCTCTTCTCCATATTTATTTTTGGCTTACTTTACATATTAAAAGAATTTTTATCTTAACATTCAAAATAAGAAACAGATGCATTTTAATTTGATATTATTATAGCGTGAATTTTTGTTTTCTCTTCCTATAGCTGATGCTGAAAAACAGCTCTTATATAAGCTTCTTATCCATATATTCATATTTTTCTAAATATTCAACTTTTGGGCTTGAAAATGGCTATTTTTAGTGTTTTTAAGGGGGATTTTTTAGTAGCTTCAGCAAGTTGCCTTGGAGTTGGGAGACTGTCAATAAAACAATTTTTTCCTATTAAAAAAAGATGTATTTTTCCCCACTGGAATAACTCAAGTAGCTCAAAACAAAGTTCGGCTAAGTGACTGCATTGAGAATTTTGAAACTTCAAACTACTAATAAATAACAAATGGTCTGGTAGCACTTTATAGACTAACAAAACATGTAGATGGTATCATGAGCTTTCATGGGCACAGCCCACTTCTTCAGATGACTGGAGTTTTGAGTTTAGGCTGTGCAGACCCAAAATAAATAGGAGGGGGGAGAAGGAGAAGACGGGGAGACAGGGAGCAGAGGGTATAGAAAATCAGGGAGGTAGAGGGAATCAGTAGGTATCTGAAGATTGGGTAGTTAAAACGAAGCAGATGAGACTCAAAGTCAATTGATTGTATTCTTCCTGACAGCCATTTATTTTTTCTGTAAAGACTAACTCGGCTACCTCCTGAAGCTACTAATAAGTAGTTTGTTTAAAATCCCCACAGGCCCCCAATCCCATTAATAGCTGATGACCTGTAATCCTGAATGTATTTATCCTTACAGCACTCTTGGAAGTTAGGGTGGTGCTTTTATCTCCATTTTACAGGCAGGAAACAGAAGCACAGAGGAAATCTGAGAAAATTGGGAATCAAACCTAGGTCTCCAAAGTCCCGTGTTAGTATTCGAAGCACTGGCCCAGACTTCCTCTGTAGGGATGGGTAATTTAAAAACAAATGCTAAATACCTTTGTTTCACATCTCATTTAGAAGATAGCATCTTTAGTAGTTTATTGGTTCACCTTCATCCACATCAATTCCAGCAGCATTTGGGTTTTCATACTGGGTCTCCTGTACAATTACTGACAAAATCTAATAAAATCACAGCCCAAAGTGGTATAGATACAGTTTTATTTGTATTGTATTACAATGTGAGTATTTTGCAGGAAGGATGTAACTGATAGACTTAATTCATTAGTACAAGCTACTCACGTTGGGAAGAGAGGTAACTCAAGTTCCAGTGATCTAAATGACTTGGTGGAAATAATACGTAAGTCAGAGCTTCATATGTAAGTTAAAGCTTCATTTGTTATCTCTGTCACAGATTAATACGGATTTTAGTTTTGCTTTAAGATATTCTAATTATATTATAGTTTCTCTTATAAAATCATAAAAAAGGTGTATGATAAGTGTTTTTAATTTCAAATTATGAGAAACCCTCTTTCTCCGTGTACATGCAATACCATCCTCCTACAAATACAAATTAATATGAAAAATGATGACAGAGGAAATAAAAACTGTCAATTTAAATCATGTATACAGATTGGTAAAACTTTATATTTACTTTCAATCTCAATTGTTCATGTGGAACCTCTTTTTTATCCAAGAAAGAAAAGACATTTTTGTTGTTTTTCTCTGCAGTGTTTCTCACAATGCAATGAGATCCTAATAATGTGCAACGTTTTTTAATATATTATTTTCAAATATAAGTAACTCTGTTTTCCTGAATAGGTTTAGATCCACCTAATCCTAGCGAAAATGCAAGTGTTGGAAATGTGAAGGGCATCTGCTCAGATATTCCAGCTAACCTGAATATTCACATAATCACTGCTGATGTGGGTGCAGTACAAGGGATTGCACAAGAAGAGATACTTGGTGTGCAGCTCAGGTACACAGAATCATGGTGCTTCTTATAATTGGTGAATATTGTGGTCAAGAATAATTAGACACTGTTGGGTAGATGAGGCCAAAAATATGTAACTTTAAAAAAAGTTGTGTTTAGATTTTTCATGATTATCTGGGGTTTTGTTTGGGTTTCCTCTTTACAGTATTTGTAACTCAAATCCAGCTGCTCTTGTATATAATCAGTTTCATTTTCCGGTTAGCTTGTTTTCATTTCTAAGCTGAGATGAACAAAAAAAAATATTGATGAAAGTTAAAATAGACTTATTAAAACTGAAATAATTAAAAAGTCTCTTCCATTGTTGCTAGCAACAGCAATAAGGAAATGTATTACTTTAAAATATTATTTTAACTTGACAATCTCTTTTTATTAGCAGTCATGTTTCTATGTGCTCTTCAATAACTTTAATTGAGTAGCTTCACTTGATACACATTAGTAACAAGTTACATGTTTGAAAGCATGGTAAATGAAAAATTCCAGAAGTAAATATTTAAAACTTATAAGTTTCTAGTGTCAAAAACTCATATTAGCAGAAAGTTTTATATATTCCATCTCATTAGATAAAGATTAATGTAGACCTTTATAGGTAAAATTTTCTGTTGTGAAAAAAAATCAAACAAAAAGGCATTTATTCACTATCTGTGCAGAGTGAACAATTATTTGTATTAGCAAATGTTCCCTCTTGGTTAGAATAGCAGACTGTTAGGACTCCTGAGCACTGGTTGTAGCTCTGATACTGAGTTGCCCAGGGCCAAGTCACTTACCGGTAATTTATCTGCAATTCAATTTACTGATCAATGACATTGGATGATACTTACCTGAATCATGGTGTGATGTGATGGTTCCATCAAAATTTATTAAATGCTTTATTATGAAAAGACAAAAGTGAAAAGCATTTATATTAATCTCAAAGTGTATTGAAATTTTAGTTAGAATCTAGGAGAATTATATCATCCAGATCAGATTAAAATAGAGAATACCTAATAAAATTATGAAAGTACAATACGAGAATATAGCAAGATATACTGTACTAATTGATATTTCCCATGTAAAGTACACTGACTGTGTGCTAATTTTCTTTCAGTTTTTCAACAGTGATATGGCAATTTCAGTGTGGGATTATCTGTCAAAATAAATCCAGTTCTCTTCCTGTCACTGCTTCAGTCCATTTTATTAAAGTGCCAGCTCAACCACCCATTCCAATGACCAGGTAACTTTTTTAGAAATTAGATATCCAGCATCATACTATGAGGAAATATCAAATTACAATAAGTAAATTTGGTGGCCAGAAAATAATCATTATGCTTGAGGTATGGTTAGACTGTAATGAACCACAGCTGTTCTATCAATTAAGCATCTGTTTCCGTGAAGTGCTGTAAATACCAGTAAACCAGTAAGATTTCAGAGGGAGCTGAAGGGTACTCAGCATCCAGGGCCTCATCTTGCAGTGTTTACTCATCTGACAAGTCCTTCATCAGAATTATTTTTGTGAGATTCACTCAAGTGAATTCAAGCTGCAAGGCCAGCCCCTAAAGTGACGATAGCCTCATTAGGCAAATTCAAACAATTGTGTTATTTCCAAAATATAGTGTGTGTTCTCTTGCTATTAGAACCATAGAATTATATACAGAAATATTATCCCCACCAAGGGAAGCTTTTTCTTATAGTAAACTTTATATTGCTTTGTCCAGTTTAGTTTTAAGTTTCTCATGAGATGAGACCTTCTTTTAGGAAACTATGCCATGGACTAAAAATTCTTATTAAAAAGTTTTCTGTTGATATGCAGCCTAAATTTTCCTCTCTGTTTCTTCCTAGTTCTTTTGTGTTTAAAGCCCTTGTACTATTCTTTTCTTGGTGTAAATCTGTACTCATCATATGGCTAAAAATCAGAGATACTTACTAGAAAGAAAGTGTTCAGGTTTAATGGTCGAGTATTAATTGATCTTTCATGAAAAGATACTTTGAAGAAACAGCTGCAAGATTATTTAACCCCACAACTTTCTAATTTGTTTTCACCTTCATTTGCACTGGTGTCTGGTTGTACCATAGTTGCAATTTAAGGTTTTAATAATTGTTTTTGTAGATTTCAGATTAACTATACAGAATATGACTGCAATCGAAATGAAGTTTGCTGGCCACAACTCTTTTATCCATTGACACGGTATTACACAGGTAAAAAAGTAGTGTGTGGAGTACAATGTATTATGAAGACTTCTTAAAATCATTACATTGAATGACGCTTTGTAACAGGAAAATGAAGTCCTCCTGTCTTTTGGAATTACAGTAATTCCTCATTTAACATGGTAGATACGTTTCAGAAAATGATCGTGCTAAGTGAAAACGTGTTATGCGGGGTCAATTTTCCCATTAAAAATAATGGAAAAGGTGCGGGTTGCATTTCAAGCCCACGTGTGCTCACAGCTCCAGCCTGCGCTTGTTAGCATCTGGGACCAGGACATAAGGTTGGGGGAGAAAGGGGATTCAGTTATAGCAGGGAAGGGGAGGTGTTTGGCTCTGGAGAAGGGAAAGAAAGGACAAGGGAGGGGGCTTACAGGTGGTGGCTGGGTTTCTCCAGCTGGCCAGTGGCTGGCAGCTGCATGGGACTTTCCCTGCCTCCTTGCAAAACGGCGGAAGTTCACTGCTCGCCATGCCGTTCCCCGGCAACCCCCTCTGGCTGGATGCCTCGCTCTCTCTCCTCTGCCCCCTGCTTGCAGCCGGTGGCTGGGTTTCCGCAGCTGGCCGGTTGCTGGCACCTGCACGGGGCTTCCCCCTGCTTCTGGAGGTTCGCTGCTCGCTGCACCATTCCCCGGCAGCCCCCTCTGGGGATGCTTCGTTCCCTCTCCTCCACCCCCCGCTTGTAGCTGGCAACTGTGCAGGGCTTCCCCTGCCTCCTTACAAAGCGGCAGAGGTTCGCTGCTCACCGTGCCATTCCCCAGTGAC